TAACTTTTAAATTTTTCCTCCAATAAAAATTTAAACTTACCACTCATAAACAATACAAAAAAAAAAAAAAAACAAAAATTTCAATAAACTACACCAAACATATCTTAATTTCTTAAACAAGAATTTAAATCCCAAGAGTCTTTTCTTTTTAACAATTTAAACTTCATCGTATTATAAAAAAATAATTATTGAATAAAAAATAATCTTTAAAATTAAGAGATCAATCCCCTGTTCAAGAGTTAGTTTAATACAACTTAATACGATTGAAACTACACTAAACATTTCTGAAATCTCAAATCATACCTCTTTTTATGTGTAAGGCAACATAGGTGTACACATTATGAACTCAAACACTAGAGCCAAGGACCAGAAAATAATCTCAAAGGGGCAAAGTGTCATTTGAAATACATATGTTAAAATAAATTTATTTTTTTTGAACAAATTCGCATGAGACCGGATTCGAACCGTTACTCTGGCGGTGAAGCAATGCACTTATACGTGGTCTAACGCCACTGGACCCAAAGGTGTAAGTGCGTTAAAAATAAATTTATTGACTTATAAATAAAATTAAGATTTAAATTTATAAAATTAAAATTTTATGACCTTAAATATCAAAAAACTTGTTAAAATTTATGTGTATTTAAATTTCAATTCAAAATATAACTTTTATTACAAAATATTATTTAATATGATACAATAAATAAAATTAAATGTTTTAAAAAATTAATAATATTAATTTCAAATCAATCTTATTTTATTACTTGATACAAATAATCATTAAGCAAGTTATATTACAATGATCAACAAACATATCAAATAAATAAAAATATTTTCTTAAATCTATTTGACTTGTTAAGTGATTAGTGATTTATTATAAGACTATAAAAAAATAAAAGTTAGAATACACAATTTTATTTCTTTTAAGAAGGGATTTTTTTTTTTTTTATATATAAATATGGGACTTATTTAATTTTCTTTAGAAGACGAGGGGGAGGGGGCAGTGAGCGCTCCCCCTGGCTCCGTCCCAGTTCCCTGCACCAAGTACAGAACACAAATCCTAACATTTTATAAGCCCAAAGTTCAGGTTTGTAAAGTTAGGCCAAACAGGATCTCAACAGTGAAGGGAAATATATGAAGATCACACCACTAATTTTATTTTCTATTAAAACATAGCTAGCATACATTTTTCATACATCATATGAAGTTCCTACATATTTGAAGAGAAGTGCTAGAAACGGATAGACAAACATGAAGAGCAAGGAAACAGGACCTAATTAAGGAGACAGAGGCCAGCCAGACATTCCGGCATCCTCGTTGATTCCTTCATAGAACCTCAGCTCAAGTTCATCCAGCACCATGTTGTCCTCATCATCCCCCCAAAGTGCATCATAGATGTCAAAGTCATCCAGTTCACTGGCTGGATAACCCCATGACAAATACTCAGAGCCATCTGAGTAATCTGAGCAATAGTCCCATTCATCCATCCGGTAGTCCATGGCATCCATGATCACTGGCCCTAAGACCTTCAGTTTTGGGAACTTTTCCTTGAAGAACTTCTCATCAAGGTCGTCTGCATCCCAACAACCTCTCAAATCCAGATACTCAAGCTCAGAGCAGCTTGCGAGGATCTTCAGAATGCCTGTTGTGCTGACAAGATTATAAGCCATCTCAAGGTGCTTGAGCCTAGGCATTGTGGCAGCAATTGCATTTGCCTCATCATCCTGAGGGGGCTTGTCTGCATTATCCAGTGGATGCATGTTCCGGCGCAGACTGACAAGAACTTTACAGTGCTTTCCAATGGCCTCTAAAGCACGAGGGCCAATTTTACAGCAGTAGCTCAAATCCAAGAAAGTAATTGTGGCAAGCCTTCCAGCAGTCTGTTCCACTATGGAATCACTCATTTCACCTCTTGGCAGTTGCAAAGCCTGAAGAGATGCAGCAGCACTTGCAAAAACACAAGCATAAAGGAACACCCATATCACCTTAGAGTGTTAATTAAGCAATGAGACCATAACTGAGACCAAAGAATGAAGCACTGTTTCCCCAAAGAGATAAGATTCTTTCATCTGAAACTGTATCATGAACACTAACCGACAGGAGAAATCAAGATTTAAGACTAATCTTGCTACAATCTAACATGATGAATCACCAAAGAATAAAGGACAGCACGGATGTAAAATGCAACTCGCATAATACTGCAAACTAAATGGAAAAACTGAAATTGGATGCAATAAGAATGTACAGTTCGGCTTACTTCTCTACAATGAGTGAGAAATCGGTATCCTTCTGAAGCCGCGAAATGCAGAGCTTGCGTATAGATCCAGAACTTCTTCTGATCAGCATTTCTAGCATACGACCTATCTTCTCAGGTTGGCGGCAGTAACTACTCCATTCCTCAATGTCTATGTCTTGCCAACAGTATGGACCCGAGACTACCTTGTTCCAGGACTTGCATACCCTGGGGATCACTGTCAGTACCTCTTGCAGAGACAGACTGCGGAATATTAGCCCCAAAGCATCAGGAATTAGTTCATCCCAACGGCGAAAATCACTTTCCTTTTCCATTTGAGCTGCATTTAAGTGAACATAGGTTGGCAAAACCAGATTAGTATATATCACAATACAACTATCTCAGCATTAAGCCTTAAAACAGACAAGATGAATCTACAAATACAAGATGAATCTACAAATACATGGGTGTTAGTTGAAATATGTAACACCTTATCATATTCCTATTCTCGTTACAAAAACATGTGGCCAAAAAATGTTCCTTATCGCAGTAAAAAACAGGAAGCAAAACTGTAAAGAAATGGACAATGAAAAGTTAAAAAAGAATTCAGAATGACAGAACCAAAGAAGGGACTGACATTTGAGAGAGAAAAGTAGACAAATTGAAAGAAAATCCTAAGGCAGAATCAACCGACCAAGAAATGAAACCAGAAATATAATCAAAGAACATCACCTTCACTGCATGCACGGTACAAGAAATCCAGTCCAGAGGAACTGAATCTCTGTTAGATTTCCGAGAAAATGCAGTAAAAGAAAGGAAAATGAGGTCCAGGAAACAAGATTCAGAAGTCAAGAAGCAGAATATCCTTAACAAAAGCAAATTCACAGGAATTACAGTAGCGGTATAACTTCATATCATACCTCGGCTATACAACAGAACACAAACAGAACATGGAATGCCAGAGACCCCAGCTAAAATTTCCGTTCTTTTCTACATTTTTTTTTTCTCAGAAACAATCAAGAAGAAACGAATCCAAGAAAGAAATCAAAGATGAACAAACAAACTCCTTACCTGACTTCCCCTTCTTAGGCTCTCCGGTTCTTGTCCAGGATTTGGATTATTATTATGCAACAAACTCACCGGTTTCTTCGCCAGAAACAGAGGACAAAAGAGGAGAGAGAGGAGAGCTAGAAAACAAGGCCCATCTACCCACCTAACAACGGAATCAATGCAAACCCAACAAGAAAAACAAAAAGTAAAGATTGGGTAATACTTGTATGAAGAAACAGGGAAGAAAAGCAGAGTACTTTTATACTGTTTATAGGAGCTGAGAAAATGAGATGAGGATGAATGAAAACAATGGAAGGTGGGGTTTATTGTGACAGTGGGGAAAGGATTTAATGAGGGCATCGTTTTCATTTCACGTATTTATGTTTTTTTTCTGAAACTGAAAGAGATTTGGAGTAATTAGATATTTCCTCCTGCACGGAAAATGGGTTTCAGGATTACGGGAGGAAGTGGGTGGCACCGACACCAGTC